AGCTATTAGAATATTTTTTAAAAAGAACAAGTTGAGGGGCAGCTAGGTGGCGCAAGGGTTAGAGTGCTGGCCCTGGAGTCAGGAGGACCTAAGTTCAAATCGACACATAACACTTACTAGCTGTGTGACTCTAGGCAAGTCACTTAACCCCAATTGCCTCATATAATAAAAAATTTTTAAAAAGAACAAGTTGACAGTCTCCAGGTGCCTAAGTGAGAATCAAGACCTTGCAGAAGGGGGAAACACTGGCCTCAGACACTTGACACTTACTAGACCCTGGGCAAGTCAGTTAACCCCAACTGCCTCACCAGAAAGTGGGGAAAAAAGGGGGGGGGGGACACGAGAGCAGTGTTAAAGGAAAGGGATGGAGGTTGGAGAAATGTCCTGGGATTTAGTGGGGCGACCACTAGGAGAGCACTAGAGAGATTGTACGTGACCAGAATACATCTGAGGACTAGCTGCTCACATTGGGTACAGACAGTAGCTAATGAGCAACCCACCAGACGTACAGAATTTTCCTCCGTCTATAAAAGAACCCAGAGAAGAGCAGGCTTTTCTCTAGTGCTAACTGTAGCTCTGAGAAGCCCTGGCTCTCTGTCATCCACCATGCTGAATGAGGGTGCTCTCAATGGTCAGTGGCTGGGCTCCGGGCACATTAATATTTCAGAAATGACAGTGTCTGCATTTTAGTTCCTGGCACAAATCAACAACTCACTTAAGATATTTATTTTAAAAAATCAGACATCACCTCATTGGTGCCCTATCCTAGCCAAAGAAGTGCTATTTTCTGCCATTCATTCCAGGAAGGTTTCTTTTTCTTTCTGGTGGCAAGCAGAAGTAAGTAGCCCATGCAAGATTAATCTTCCCAGAGGCCCGCTGTCCCAGGGGACACTGGCCTCCTTGTTGTTCCTTATACAAGACCTTCAATTTCCCGTCTCTGTGCTTTTGCACTGGCTACCCCTCATAACTGGAATGCCATCCTTCCTAGTCTCTACCTCCTGGCTTCTTTCAAGTCTTAGTAAAATCCCACCTTCTGGAAGAGGCATTTTCCCCTCAATGCAAGTGGCTTCCCTCTGAGATTATCTCCCCTTTGCCTGGCATAGATCTTGCGTGTATATAACTGTTTTCATGTTGATTCTCCCTGAGGGCAGTACTATGTTTGAAGTCCATAGTATCCCCAGCCCTTAGCATGGCATTTGGTACACTGTTCAGTCGTTTCAGACACGTCTGACTCTTTGTGACCCCATATGGGGTTTTCTTGGCAAAGATACTGGAATGGTTTGCCGTTTCCTTTGCAGCTCATTCTACAGATGAGGAAACTGAGGCAAACAGGGTGAAGTGACTTGCCCAGGGTCACACAGCTAGTTAAATGTCTGAGGCTGGATTTGAACTATGAAGATGAGTCTTCTTACTCCGAGCCGGGTACACTGTCTCCTGTGCCACCTAGCTGCCCTACGTGGTACATAGTGGGCAGTCAATAAATGCTTAACTTGACTGTTTGGAAACAGGAACTACTTTCCTGTTTCCTACCCCATCAAATCTAAACTCTTTTGCCTGTATTTCATGGCCATCTGCAATCTGTTCTTATTCCATTTCTCAAGCTTTGTCTTCAACTGCTCCTAACATGGGATGTTAGGTGTCTATCATCTGAGAAATGGATAGAGACATATACATATAACAGACTATCACAAAGCCAGAAGTTATAATGAGGAATTCAGAGAAGTGTAAGAAGACACAGAAATTGATGTAGGGTTAAGTATGCAGAACCAGGAAAACAAGATACACAACAACTCCAACAACGTAAGTGGAAACAATAGCACAGAAGACTTTGAACACCGTAATTAGAATGACCAAGGACTGCCCTGAAGAAGAGATGAGAAAATAGACTTTTCTGGCTTCTCTGAAGAAGTGGGGCACTGTCTGGAACACTGCATATATATACTGTCAGAGTTGGTTAATGTGTTGGCTAATATTTTCAAACTGCTTTTTCTTTTTTTTCTTTTTTATTCTTTATTACAATGGCTAGATCCCTGGAGGGAGAAATATACATAAAAACTAAAGTGACATAAAAACAAAAATATTAATACATTGAATAAAGATTTTAAAACTATCTTAAAGGTCATCTACTCCAGTCCCTACGTTTTACATCCTTAAAATGAGGGAACTGACAAAATCATCCAAAGAGTCAGAATGTGAACTGAGCACCTCAGACTCCAAAGCCATTGCACCACCCTGCTTCCCATGAACTCTGTGCTTTAATCATACTGGTCTGATCTGTCCCAACGAACTAACTCATCATGCTCATTCTTAATTCTGACACTTAGTTTGTATGGTTCCCCACTCTTCCTTCCTTCCAAATCTATCTACTCAAATCCTATCCATCTTTAAAAACCCACAGGCTCCACTTCCTCCAGGATGTCCTCTTGAGTAATCCAGCCCATGTTATTTTCTCACTTCTCTGAACTTTTATAGCACCTTGAATTTGGGCCACACAATTTCCCATTTTATTCTGTCTTATGTTGTTCTCTGACAGTTTTAATCACGTTTGTCTTGTCTCCCTTGTAGGTATTGACTCTGTATTATAATCCACCCCCTAAGGCACCTAACATAGTGCTTAGCACACAGTAGGAGTACTGTAAATACTTGAGTAGTTGATTGTTTGACAGCTGGTCTGCAAGGACTCTTGCCTCACTGAAGATCAGAATTTTTCCATAATAATATACATTTGTTCCAACCATTGTTTTCCCTTTTCCCTCTCCACATTGCATATAGCGGGTAGAAACCATTGGCCTGGATAGAAACTACAGCAGGCCATCAAAAGACTCTTGTTATAAAAGCTCCTTACTACTCTGCAGAAATTAACCTTCTGGAAGTAAGATTTGGACAGAAGGAGGTCAATTTTTGGCTAAAAAACAAATATCTATGACCTCAGGATCAATTCCTTCCCAAGACCCAGTGGAAAAATCAGATGGTAGGGGCAGCTAGGTGGCGGACGGGATAGAACTCCAGCCTTAGAGTCAGGAGGGCCTGAGTTCAAATCCAACCTCAGACACTTGACATTTACTAGCTGTGTGACCCTGGGCAAGTCACTTAACCCTGATTGCCTTACCAAAAAGTAAAAAAAAAAATACAACAACAAACTCAGATGGTAAAATGGGTCAGAATGGTACCAACTGATAGAACTGGAGATACTAAGGCTCTGATACTTTGATTTAATCAATATGGGTATTCTCTCTATCAGTACCTAGAAATACTTTCTTTTTTGGGGGGGGAGGGCTAGGCAATGGGGTTATGTGACTTGTCCAGGGTCACACAGCTAGCAAGTATTATGTGTCTGAGGCCAGATTTGAACTCAGGTTCTCGTGAATTCAGGGCCAGCACTCTATCCACTACACCACCTGGCTGCCCCCTAGAAATACTTTCTTGTCCTTGCTTCCTGTCTTTGTGACAGTTGTCTATGACCTCCCATACATCTTCTACAGGGGACCACCCAACACCCTGAGATGCAGGGCTTCCTCTAGATTTCTTAATGCTATGTGGAGAGCAAAACAGAGGACAGGGGCTGTTCAATGATCATCCTTTATTCTTAATACACAACTGGCCTACTTTCTATCTTGTCCTGCATCATTCTGACAATATTGTGTTTCCTGTGCAGCTTTCATTGGTAACAGGTCACAATGTGTTCACTTCCATCATGCACCTTGTCACTACCTCTTAAACAACCTGTGATATTCTCTAGGGTTCCCATTTCTCATAACTCAAAGCCATACAGTTTCAGCAGGAAAATAATGATGTTTGAAAAGATGGACCTTTGTTTCAGGGAGAACTTATAATTATTAAGAGCTTTATACTGGACCCCCAAGGCAATCTGTTTTCTCTGCTCTTCCTTAATGTTGGACCTGGTTCGGGTCAGCACAGTGTTAAGATGAAAAGATCTCACTGTGCTTACTGTTTTTTCCAAAAGCATTTGATTTGGCAGAGAAAAACACTGGCCTGAAGGTTCTTTCCCTTGGACACTCAAATATATTCTAATAAATATTTGTTAGATTGAATTGAATTAAACCCTGGATAGCCTATTTGTATCCCCTTGTCAGGTGATATCACTTCTATTTTTTTTTTAATTTATGGAATAAAACAAGAATTTCCACAATACAGTACAATTTAAAAAAAAGATTGTACATGAAACTGAAAATCTGCTATGCACAACTTATTATTCCTTTCAAATATACAACAAAATTATCATGTAAATTTCTTTATTTTTCTTTTTTTTCTTCCCTTCCCCTCCCCACCATCCTAGAGATGGCTACCAATAGACACAAATGGGGGGGGGGGATGTGTGTGTAAAATTATTCTATACATACTTCTATTAGCAGATAAAGTCTTTCTTCTATTCTTGAACATTCTCATTTGATAGAACTTATCAAGGATGCCTCTAGGTACCATGATGGAATAAAGGAGGGAAATGTATTCCCTAATTTATGTCCATCCTTATCTCCTTCCAAAAATCAGCTTTAAACTTACCTCCTCTAAGAAGCCTTCTGTGAGTGATCACCTCTCCCCTCTGAGCTTTCTACTTTTCTCATAGGACCCTAACACTTATGTGTTCAATTTACATTATTTAATTTTGTTGATACGTTGTTGGGTAATGTTGTATATATGTGTTTGTCTTGTGCCCCAGCTAAACTATAAGTTCTCAAGGGTAGTGACCACACCTTGAATCCTTTCAGTATTTCACCCTATAGCGCTTAGGATAGGACTCTTCATACACTGGATGCTCAATAAATTCTTGCTGATTGTTACAATGCAATATAAACTCAATGAACAAAACAGGGCAATATGTTTATTTAGTAGCTACTGTGTACAAAGTATATAGCTCCCCTGTCTCTGTGGCCAAATTTATAAATCATCTTTTTTCATGGTAAGACAAAAAAAGGGGGGTGGGGTGAAATTTTGGTGAAAAGGAACAGGGTGTAAGGGCAGAGTAGCCAAAATTGTCTTACCTTTGCACTGCAAACCTTGTCGCAAGAGACCCCAGAGCAAGGATCCACAATGGTCACAGAAAGTTGGGACTTTATAGTTGTGGATACTGAATTTGTGGGGCATGTTGACGCTGAACCGCTGGGAGCCCACCTACAAGGAAGGCAGAAAAGAGGGCTTACTCAGGACACTTGCCCTCCCACTGATGCTTCTGATTCAAATGTATTTTTTCCTTTCCTTCTGAAAAATATAGGCATCACACACAGGAGATCCTGGCTAAGATCTGAAATGCTAATGGTAAACAAGTTGGGGTTGGATCTTATTCCCTTGGCCTGCTCTTCATTAACCCCAGGAAAGTCTTCTTTGCCCTTCCTATTCATTTTTCTTCAAGGCCCAACTTGTTTCACCTCCTCCATGAAGCCTTCTCTGACTGTTCTTTTCTCTGAACCAAACCACTTATAATCTGCAAACTCAAAACTTAATTATAGATTCTTACTGTTATTACTTCACCTGCTTCCCCTCTCTCCCCTCCAAACTCAAACATACTAGACTGAAATCTCCCTGAAGGCAGGGCCTGTGTCAAAGACTTCTTTTGTAAATCCCCCAGCACCTTAGACAGTACCTTGCACAAAGTAAATGTTCAATAGCAACCTGCTGATTGCCTACTTGAAAAGACTAAGGGGAAGGCTGAGTAGTATGACTATGGAAAGAGCAGTGGCCTGGGAAGTGGCAGCACTGGGGTCAAATTTTGACTCTTTATGACCTTCAGAAAGGCAGCTCATTACATCATAGAGTCATAGAGAGCTCTATACAGTTATAAGTGTCATCATACACATATATAATATACACATATACATATATATTTATGTAATATAAATGTATAGATATATGTATGCATATGTAAATATGTATGTATATATAAATATACGTATAAATATAAATATTTAAATATAAAATACACACTATATATATAAATTCACATTTATATGATGCCTTATGATTTAAATAGAACTTTATATGAATTATCCTATTTGATTCTCACAACCTTGAAGGGCTACAAGTATTATTATCCCCATTTTGCAAATGAGGAAACTGAGGTTGAGAGAGATTAAATGACTTGCCTGTAGTCACAGAGCTAGAAAGTATCTGAGGCCAGGTTTGAGCTCAGTTTCTCCTGACTCCATGTCCAGTGCTTAACCCACTACACCATGCTGCCTTTCTAAGGAAATAAAAGGCCTAATTATTAACAGTTTTCTCTGAGGAATGTTCTGGGCCTTCTTGCTCTTTCAACTGGATGTTCTCCTGCTTCCCATTGGGTAATCTAGATACATGCTGATTTTACCACCTCTACTCCCCCCAAAATGGCATTGGGCGATCATAGAGAGTGGGGTGCTGTCACTGGCCTTCCCAAAGCTAGGTGCCCCATTTATCTGTTTGCAAAAGTAACAAGACAGAGAGAGAGAGTGACTTCCCTGACTATCTGCTGTCTTCTCAGTGTGGGCTGAGCAAGGAAGTCCCTCTCAGCTGTTCTGTGATTCTAAGACCAAAGAGAAGAGGGAGAGCTTCTATGCCTGGGCTGGCTGATAAAATGTCGAACCTCCCAAAATAAGCAAAGACTCCCACATGCACACAATGGTTCCATGTTGCTAATCCACCATAACAGAAACCAGGCAGATCCCTCGATAGCAAACCCTCTTGTTGGAACAGATGAGATTATATTAAATATCATTTGAGCTGAGTAAGGCACTGTCTAGCTAGGGGCCTTATCTGAATTTCTCAGCTCTATAAATTTATTATACTCATGAACAGATTGCCTGTTCCTTATGTGTATAGATTTGACCCTAAACCCAGAGGCAGCATGGTATATAGTGGAAGGAATGTAGTCAGCAAAGATGTGGGTTCAAACTCTGAATCTGACATTTACTAGCTGAGTGTGGGTAAGTCATTTAAAGCCTTCCATTAGTTTTCTCGTCTGGAAAAAAAAGATAATATCTACAGAGGTTATGAAAAATGGGGATGATAATATATATCAGAGCAAATGGGATAATGTATGTAAAGTCTTCTGTAAGCCTCAAAGCACTTGGTAAACCGGTAGTATTATTATGCAATTTTTCTGTATGTAGGTGGTGAGCTAAGTCATATCCCAGTCTGAATTCCATAGAACCGGGCCTCATCAGTTCCCTGAAAATCCCCCAGGACGGTATCATGCACCTGGTGAGTGGCCAAAGAGAGAAGAACAAAATGGAAGCTGCACTCCTGTGGTTATGCAGGGGAGCTCGTCTACCACCTCGCCTGCAAACCGCTGGGGTCAGGCTTTCCAAGGCACACAGAAGCAACGTTTTCATTTCAATCAACCAACAAGAATTTATGAAGTACCTCCTAATTGCCAAGCACTATTAGGTTCTTGAGATACAAATGCAAAGATTAAAACAATCCCTTATCATAAGGAGCTGACATTTTAATAAGGGAAACAACTATATTTATGAATATATGTGGCATAAATATAAAGTGATTAAATACCAAGTAGTTAAATGCAAGATCATTTGGGAGAGAGGGTACTCGAAGAGGGGGGAAGGGAAGGCTTCATACGGAAAACGGCACCTGAATTCTGTCTTAAAGAAGGAAAGGGACTCTATGAGGCAGTAGTGAGGAAGGAATACATTCCAAGTATGTGAAAGATGGTGTACTCTACATAAGGAACACTGAGAAGGCCGGTTTGGCTGTTTGAGGAGTGCAGGAGGGGGACTCAATCCCAGTAAGTCTGGAAAGATATTCTCATCTCACAGGAAAGGGGAGGAGAGATGGGGGGACCAGAAAACAGACGTGCATCCTGTTACAATTACAAAGAGGAAGAGAAACTCAGGGAGACATGTGGAGGGAGATGGAGAGAAAGTGAACAAGACCAAGAGAGGAAGGAAAGTGTTGAAATCACAGAGAGGGAGAAGAAGAGGGAGGACGTGAGGAAGGAGGAGGGGACTGAGAGCTGAGTTACCCAACTGGAACTGGCCAGCTGGTCCAGGGGCCAGATATTCATCCGGACTACTGGAGATAGCTCTGGATGCAATGGGAGACCCTGGCACTTTTAAGCTAAGGTCTTTTCAGGTTCTCACTTTGAGTGAGGCAAGACCCATTCAGTGAATAGGCCTCTTTAAGAAGGGAGTCAAAGAATGGCACCTTTAATTAAAAAAAAAAATCAAACTGGGAGAGGAACACTCTCAGGGTTACTGGCCAAAAGAGAAAGTTACTATTTACATTCATTCTGAGCCAGGAGGGCGCCCCCCCCAAAACAAAAAAGCATTAAGTGGTGCTTGGGCAGGGACTTAGTGTTGTCCAATCTATAAGCTCCAGAGTGAATTGGGTTTAAGGTTTGGTCTTTGAGAGAGAAATCTAGCCAGTAAATCCCAGAGAGGAGGAGAAGGACAGAAAGGAGGTGGGGGAGGGGGAAGGGAGGGGAGAAGGATGGGAGGGGAGGGAGAGAGAGGGGGAGAGGGAAGGGGAGGGGGAGGGTGCTATGAGCCAAGGTACCCAACTGGAACTGGCCAGCTGGGTCTCTATTCAGGCAGCTCAGACTACTCACAGGTTGTATTCGTCCTTCCTTCTTGAAGAGGACCATGACATCAGGGAGGTGATGACATGACTTGCAATTGACTTTGATTTAAGTGACGGGAGGGCTGTGCAAGGTCACCAGCCTCACTTCTCCTTCAGAGCCATCTGGGTCCAGTGGCCAGATATTCATCAGGATGACTGGAGATAGCTCTGGATGCATTGGGAGACGCTGGCCCTTTTTACGCTAAGGTCTTTTTGGGTTCTCACTTTGAGTGAGGTAATGCCCATTCAATGAACAGGCCTCTTTAAGAAGTGAGTATAAGGATGGCCCCTTTAATCAAAAATGAATAAATAAATCAAACTAGGAGGGGAAGACCCTCAGGGTTGTTGGCCAAAAGAGAAACAGTTACTATTTACATTCACTCTGAGCCTGGAGGGCCCAAAGAATAAGCATTAAGTGGTGCCTGGGCAGGGGCCTATTGTCGTCCATCAATGAGGTCCAGAGTGAGAAGCCTTTAAGGCATGGTCTTTGAGAGAGAAATCTAGCCAATAAACCCCAAGTTAACTTAGTAGGTTTTGGCCACGAAAATTTGCCTTCCTTTGGGCAGAACACCAAAGGAGAAGGAGAAGAAGAGGGAGAGGGAGAGGGGACTACGAGCTGAGTTACCCAACTGGAACTGGCCAGCTGGGTCCTTATTCAGGCAGCTTGGACTACTCACAGTCTGTGTTTATCCTTCCTTCTTGAAGAGGATCATGACTTCAGGGAGATGATGACAGGACTTGCAATTGACTTTAATTTGAATAAGGGAGAACTGCACATGGTCACCAGCCTCATTTTCTCCTACAGAGCCATCTAGGTTCAATAGCCAGATATAGATCAAGACAACAGGAGATGGCCCAAGGATGCAATGGGACCCTGACCTTGCACAGCCCTCCCTCACTCAAATCAAAGTCAGCTTCTAGTCATGTTATCATCTAGGGTCTTCCCCTCCCAGTCTGTGTTTTTGTTTTTGTTTTTGGATTAAAGGGGGGGTCATCCTTTGACTCACTTCTTAAAGAGGCCTTATTTACTGAACGGGCATTACCTTACTCAAAGTGAGAAGTTGAAAAGACCCCAGCATGTAATAAGCACCTACTAAATGTTTTTTATTCATTCATTCATTCATTGAGCTAGAAGGGACCTTAGAGATCATCTACTCCAAACACTTCATTTCATAAATGGGCAATCTGAATGTCAAAGAGAGAGGGCAGGAGGGAAGTGACTTGCCCAAAGACATGTAGTTTTTGGCAGAGTCAGGACTAAAACCAAGACTTCTGAACTGCCACTTCAATACTCTTTTCACTTAATCAAGATGATTCTATTCCTGTTTATCAAAGAATCCTGAAGGCTTCTGCTTTCTAAGGCAGCAATAACTTACTGTCTATGAACATATACCAACTTCACACATACAATGTCTTTGATGCCACTTGCGACAAGCCCAGGTGCCTGAAGAACTGGGACTTAATCACTTCACTCTTCTGCAGTTCAAGTGTCAAACCTCTACTGGATACTGCTAAGTCTTGTGAGAGATGATCTCTCAAAAGTGAAGCCTCCTCAGGGGATCAATAGTTCTTGTTAATATTTCTTGACTGTTGCTTTCAAAACCCTCCCCCACTCCCCAGACCCTGTTTTTTTTTTTAAATGCTTAGCAGAAAGAATAGCCCTGCCCCCAACCTGAATTGCTTGCCTTTTGAAAAGCTTCCCACCTTTTCTAGTCTCTGGGTTAAGGGGGAAGAGGGTTAGGGAGGGGAAATTGCAGTAAATTTCAGTTTCCTAGGAATTACCTAACTCATGGGAATTCGGCTCTAAATCCCCTCCTGATCACCACACCACTGCTATGTCAGCATTGGGTTTACTAAATAAGGACATGTATGTTTGGCTTGGCTGTACCCTGTTTCCTTGTTCTTTGTCTTTGAATTTTCCCGCCTAAGAATGTAAGCCCCACCTTCCAGCTAATGGGATAGGAAGATTTTTCACGCCTAAGAATGTAAGCCCGCCTCCCCAGCCAATGAGAATAAGGGATAGTGGTGGGTGGAGCTTTGTTTGCATTAGGGTATATAATTTCATTTCGCTTTCTGTGCCTTGCCTCTCTCCTCCTGGAAGTGTACCTGGGGAGCAGAAGCCCCTTCTCTCGAGATTGTAATAAAAAGTTAACTTTTGCTTCTACCTTGGGAAGTCTCTGAGTTTAATTGATTTAGAGTCGCTGTCCCACATAGTCTGTCTATCTCTGGTCCCCCAGTGAAGTATTCCATTGCCTTGCTGTTTAGTTGTTTTCAGTCATGTCTGACTCTTTGTGATCCCATTTGGAGTTTTTTTGGCAAAGACACTGGAATGGTTTGCCATTTCCTTCTCCAGCTCACTTTATAGATGAGGAAACTGAGCAAATAGGGTGACTTGCTCAAGGTCACACAGCTAATAATTGACTAATAAGTTAATAAAAGGACTAATGGTTATAGCCCAGGGCTAGCAGCCAGGAGACCCAAAGGATAGCTTGAAATCCTGGCACTGCTTCCCAAAGGAGGACCTTTGGAAAAGTCACTTCCCATCTTTGGGGCTACCTACCATTTAGCAAACTAGAGAAATTTCAGAAACTCAGCATATAGCTTACACAAAAGATAAAGCACTGGACCTGAGTTCAAATCCAGCCTCAGGCCCTTCCTAGTTGTAGAATCTGGGCAAGTCACTTAACCACTGTCTGCCTCAGTTTCCTCATCTCTGAAATGGAGAAAATAATAGCACCCACCTCCTAGGATTGTTGTGAGGATAAAATATAATATTTGTAATATAATATATTTGTTAAGTGCTATATAAATGCTAACTATTATTGTTATTGCTAGTGTTATTATTATTTCTCTTTTAATAAACCACAACTAGTCCTTTTTTAACCTTCTTTTAGCCAAAAGGTATAACTCTACTAAAATGTATCAACTTGCTTGCAAAAGAAGCTTATAAAAAAAATTGTGAATATGATGTAACCAGATAATCTTGAAAGTATTCATCTCAGTGGGAATTCTTTCTTTTTAATTCTTTGTATAATCATATTTTGACACTAATTCCCCACCTCTTACTGACACCATCCAGGCAGAGATGGTGTAGAGTACACCGAGATTATGTGGGGAAATGCTTTGAGAGGTAAGATGCTCTTTAGCCCAAGAAGCCCCACAAAGAAGCACTACCCACTTCCAAAAGAAAAGATTTTTGCCTCTGAACTGTCCTATCCTATCATGAACCCTGACCAAGGTCACCAAAAAGTAGTTCAGAGAATCGGGTCCTTAGAATGACACAATCAGAGAGTGTCAAAGCTGGAAGAGACCATTAGTCATTTCATGCAATCCAGCTTCTGAACAGAGGGCCCTCTACAATCTCCCCCAACAAGCATCATCTTATTTGTATGTGAAAACTCTTAGCAACAGAGAATTCACTACCTCCAAAAGGAAGTCAGTTCTGCTTTGGAACTGCTAATTGGTTAGGGAGTTTTCCCTAATATCTACTTGACGTTTACCTCTCAACAGCTTCTCTCAATTTGATTCAATTCAGCAAATGTCACTTAGTCATTTTAACCCATTGCTCTAAGCCCCGTCCTTGGAGCCAAGCACAAATCTAATCTCTGACTACATCTGGAGCGCTGTGTTTGGTTCTGGGCGCCAGTGTTATAAAAGGATGAGGATAAGCTGGAGAGAATCCAGAAAAGGGCAGCCAGGATCCTCATACTCTTCAAGTCATACTAGGATAGGCTGAAGCAGATAGGGCTGTTTTGACTAGAGCAGAAAAGATTTAGGGGCAACCTGGCAGTTGTGGTCAAATATCTGAGGAACTGTCAAGTGAAAGAGAGATTAGGCTTATTCTGTTTGTCCCCAGAGGTTGAATTTGCAAAGGCCAATTTAGGCTTGCTGTCAGCAAAATAAGCCCAACAAGGAAAGTTGCCCAGGAGAGGAGTGGATTACCTGGAGAGGGGATGGGTGCCCCTGGATCAGAGACCAAGCAGAGCCTACAGAACCAGTTCTTGGACAAGTTAAAGTATGCAGTTCTCCCAAGTATGTATGGGACCAGACAGCTGTTGAGTACTCTTCAAATTTTCAGATTCTCAGATTCGAATCCTTCTTCCACAAGACAACTTTTCAAACACTTGAAGACAGCTCTGCTATCTCCCCCAAATCCTCTCTTATTCAAGCTGAACATTCTCAGTTTCTTCAACCAGTCTCCATTATAACACAGTACATGGCTTCGCATGCCTTCACCAACCTGGTCACCCTCTTCTAGATGAGGTCTTTTTGGCCAACGCCCTTCTTAAAATGTGGTGTCAGAACTCAATATGATACTCCAGAGGTGGGATTCTTGTTTGTGTCATCCTGAACACTGCTTCTGTTAAAGTATCCTCATGCTAAAAAAATTAATAATGGGATGCCTTGGCCACTGATGTTTCTCGCTCCAAGCCCAGCGCTCTATCCACTATGCCATAATGCTTATCTCTGTCTCTGTGTCTATGTCTATGTTTGTATATACATATATACATACATACTTATATAAATACATACATACATACATACATATAGACCTACATATACATATATGCATATATGTATATATGTATAGGGCAGCTAGGTGGTGCAGAGTCAGAAAGTCCAAACAAAGTTCAAATCTGACCCATACACTTAAAAGCCATGTGACCCTGGGTAGGTCACTTAACTTCTGCCTGCATAAAGCTGGAGAAGGAAATGGCAAAACACTCCAGTATCTTTGCCAAGAAAACCCCACGAACAATTGGTCCACAGGGTCATGAAGGGTCGTACATAACTGAATGACTAAACAATAATATGTATATATGTGAGTGAGTATGTATATCTTTATACACATACACAGATATAATATACATATATACACATTCTGTATGTATGTGTGTATATAGTTCTATATATACAATATATGTATGCAACCATTCTGAACATAAATGTAGATCACCCACACACAGGCATACAAATATTCAACATTTTCTCCCCAACTATGTTCTTCTTCATTGTTTCTGTCAAAGACTTCATCATTTTCCCAATCTCCCTCCCCGCAAAAAAAACCTCTTGTTACCTGGGATCCTTCTTTCTCTTTCCCCCTCCTAGCCAATCAGCCACAAAATCCTACCATTTCCTTTTGCCAAATAGCTGGGATTTGCCCATTCTTCTACATTTTCACTGTCTCCAGGTAAAGGAGCCATCCCTGGCTTATCATCAGTAGGACATCAGCTCCCAATGTACCTCTACTAGTTGGCATGGATTGTGTAAAACCATGCCAACTCTATTTATATGTGCCCATTTTTAAGACCACCAGCTAGAATTATGAGTTAGCTTTCAGCTAAGAAAGCAGAATGGAGGTCCAGTACATGGTCAGTTAAATCTCTGCATTTTTGCCAGGATCATCATTCTGCCTGATGGTCTGCCATCCATCATCCCTGGAGTTATAGGTAGCCCCACTGCAATGCTAGCTCAGCTTCTCAGGCCCAGAAGAAATCCATATTTCATCCACCCACCAATCAGCTTCTTCCAATTTACTGGCAAGAGTGAGAAATCAAAATAAAATTTACAGCACATTGTCCCTACAGGCTTGAGTCCTGGAACTTAGCTACCAGTGGCACAGCGCCCACAGACACAAGGAACTCAGATAGATACTGCAGGCTTTGATATTTGCCAGAGGTTACAAACCAATTCCCCAAGTTTTCGTTCAACAAATGGAAGAGACAGGAACAAGTTACACACACACACACACACACACACACACACATGGAAGGTTATATAGTATGGATGAGGGAGAAAAAACCCCAAGACTTTGATGTTATAAATGTTTACCTCATCATGTGTTTCCTGTTTCTTTAAGCCCGCACACTTCGTTATTATAAGCTCATGGCATCTCTTGTGAACCACACAAGTGCAAACTGTAAACAACAGAAGATGGGTAGAGTGAGCTTCAGGGGGGAGGTGGTGAGTGCTGAAGGGGATTACGGGGAGAAGGGAATGGGGGGGTTCAAATACAAGATGAAATTGACATAATCATAGACCTGTGACCTTTCTGTCTTGATTTAAAAACTGCTCATCAGCCTCTCCCCTCAAACCCATCACACAGCTCTTTGAAAGGTGCTTTGTCATCCCTGAAATTAGGATTTACTAAATGCTTTTGGAGGAGAATTAAACTTTTATGCTTAAACAGCCTCTGTGGTTTTCCATGGTTCTGGGAGCCCCGATCAATTTCATTGTTTCATTCAGAGCATATGCCAAGGTCAAGAAACCATCTCCTTTCTAAGCCCTCCCACTGTTATAATTGTTCCTGTTATGGGCATTACAATGTTTACATGCACTCCTCAGAACAGTACCAAGTTGGTGGATGGAGCAGAGATGCCCTTTAGCCATTAGCAGGTCTGGTGAGACCTTCTCTGGTGTCTTTGTTTTTCTATCAAGTAGGGGTTTTGACCTTCCACACTGTAAAACTTCCATTTAATTTGTATCTCCACATGAAGATGTCCAAAGTCCTTTGAGTATTCCCATAGGACAATGTGTATACAAGGTGATCAACAAGAAAATCACCCCACCCTGGAGGGTACGATATTTTCTAATTAATATAATTTCTAATACTTTCTAATTCTTACATTCCTAAAATGATAATTGTAAGATGCAAGACAACCAGGGCTGGACTAGACAGGGTGCTTTATAGCTCTGGTAGCAAAAAAGCCAAAATGTAAACATACGTGACCCCTGATTTCCTAATTATATATCGCCAACCAAGTCTAGCACTTATAATAATTTTTAAAATGACCCGTAAGCATTTCAAGAGGGCCTTCATTTTCAAATGGCTAGGGATGTTTCCCAAGTCAAATAGTGGCTAAGGAATAAGTAAGGGAGTGCTTGATAAATACTAAACAGGATGGGTAGACAAGGGAGCTGAGTGTGATCCCACAGGACACATTAGCACAAGTGAGGAGACAGGATAGAAATCCCCCAGCTCAAAATGCAGTGGGGCTTCTGCCAGTCCTCTGATGAGAACTTTAGTGTGACATAATTTAAAAAAAAAATTCTGATCTCTGAATGAAACCAAAACTCCTAAGCTTCCTGCTATAACCAGCATATAAAGAACTGGGTGTGGTTGGTGTTCTCTGTGACTCCCCAGAAGTCTCAGAGATGGAGTAAAGTAGCCCTTTTATCCTGTGGCACATGAGAAAAGTGAAAAAAGAAGAGGGCAAGGGAATTGAGGAGAGTAGAGCATATGTAGAGGAAGAGTCAGGGGAAATGGGCTAAGAGCACCAGTATCCAGGGACTCATTTGGTCTAGCATACAAATGAGAAAGTGTATAATACACACACACCCTCCAAGTCCATTCAAGAGAATCTATCCATTCATCTGTCTCAGATGTGGCTCCTTTTTTTAGATCTGCTCACAGGATACACACTCAACAGTGGCTTAGTTCATATTGTACCACTTACCTTGACATTGGTATCCCTGTTTTCCTATGACACCCCTGAAAGCAAGAACAGGCTCACTTTAGGAAATGAAGTTTCAATTTAAGAAAGAGAAAGAAAGAAAGGAAGAAAGGAAGGGAGAAAGGAAGGGAGAAAGGAAGGGAGAAAGGAAGGAAAGAAGGAAGGAAGGAAGGAAGGAAGGAAGGAAGGAAGGAAGGAAGGAAGGAAGGAAGGAAGGAGGGAGCAAGGAAGGAAAGGAGAGAGGCAGGAGAAAGAGAGAGCAGAAATGGGGAAAGTGAGAGACAGACAGACAGAGACTTACCTCCAATCATGAAAAGCACAGGTATTCCAGGAAATGTTTAACTAGATTCTATTGAACAGCAGAATTTAATCCCCATTTGCCTTTGAGGATGAAGGGATGCTTACCTACTTAGATGATGAATGTTGGCATACCCTAGACTGGGAGGTAAGTTTACCATCTGGGCTGTGTCTATGGCATTTTATTTCCTGCAGGAGCAGTGACTTGACCAAGGTCCTTCAGAGAGTTAGTGAGGGAGCTGAGACAGAACCCCAATTTCCTGATTCCCTGTCCAGTATTCTTTATTCATTTATTTATTTATTTATAGGCAGTTGGGGTTAAGTGACTTGCCCAGGGTCGCACAGCTGGTGTCAAGTGTTTGGTCTGAGACCGCATTTGAACTCGGGTCCTCCTGACTTCAGGGCCGGCTCTCTCTCCACTGAGCCGCCTAGCTGCCCCTCAGTATTCTTTTTAATACCCCATCCTCCTCCTTACCCCGCCACAGAGCCCAGCATAGGGCTGGATGTTACCAAATGCATTGGAAGCATTTGTGAAAACCTCACAGAACGCGATTCAATTAGGCAGAAATAACAGGGCAAGCTGTCAGTGCTTTCCAAATCAGGTGTCTAACCCTCCCCGCCCCCACCCTGCCAGGCCTCCAAACTGAAGAAAAGGGGGAAAAAAACTGGGAGGAAGAAGAGCCTTACCAGATGAAGTCTCTGCAGTGAGAACAATAGGTGGGCTGCCGAAGGTAGGTGGCCATGAACTTGTGGCCGTTAACCTGATGGACCCTGCGACGGACCGCCCCCTGCCGTTTCCTCGGCCGCATCCGCTCCCTGAACACTCGCTCCTCATTGTCTTTGGGTGCTGGGAAGGGACGAAAAAAGAGCAAAAGCAAAGACGAGGTGAACGAGATGAAACACTCTGTTTCTCCATAAGATACTATCCATCCCTGGGTGATTGACACTAAGTTTGCAGGCAACCGATTGGAAAGCGGCCTTTATTTGTATACAGAAACTATCAGCCTTCAAACTGCCCCATGTTACATTTGCCCATGAGCTCCTGGGGCAAGTCCTTGTATATCACAGGCTGCCAGACATCTTCAGATTTCAATCCGACCCCCAAAACTCAGAGTTTGGTACAGATCTGGCCTCTCTTTTCTTTCTCACTGGACCCAAGTATTTCTGCCACCCTTAAAATAGCTTCAAAAGGAAATTCAGCAAATCCCTAGTATTCCTCAAAAGCCTGACCTGAGAAGGAAAGTGAGACACTAAAAATGGACTGTCCCTTTGGTGCCTAGAACCCACCATTTTAGGCTGCAATACCCCCATTATGGAGGAAAAATAATCCTTCCCCAACCACTCGGGCTGTCTGCTCTTCCTCCCTCCCTCCCCCATCCCATCCCACTTCATCTCTCCTCTTTCCATATTACTTCCAGGAGCGCTGAAACCCCAAAACCTTTGTGGAAGTATAATTACAGGGACTGATAGGGAAATTGTGCTCATCAAACCACTGGGATATCATTTGGAAGGCCAGAGCCACCCCATGACAAATCGCTAAACATCTCAGAGTAAGTGCCAAAGACTAGTTTCCTTCTGCGAAAGCAGCCCCAGACAGGCAGTGAACGTCCCAAAGCAGCCATCTGTGCAATGAAGAGGAGGAATGGTTCGCTTCTATTCTTTGAGCTCTGTGGCAGCTTGCTTGCCTCTAGACTGCTGACTGCTTGTGAGGGAGGGGGAGGTCAGGAGCCACCTTACACAGTCACCAGCCTATCATGCGAGGTGATGGGACAGGCACTGGCGGCTCTTACCATTGCCCCTAGGCAGCCTCTCCCAGCCTACCGTAGTGCCCGAAAAAGCTTCCCATGACAGGCTCATTTCTTTGAGTAAGTGTTATGTTTTCTGTTCTCCTCTTTTAAGATGCAAACCTTCTTGGAAAGAGGAACACATTCAGTTGGGGGGAGGGTTGTATTCATTCATTTATCAATTCCTACAACAGGAAAGGGGAGAAGGGAAAGGAAAAGGAATGAAAGGAAAGAGGAGGCAAGCGCTAGGAAGAGAAACGGAGAGTGGCAAAGGTCCAAAAGACGAAGCAAAGAACCTGCAGGACAAGGAAAACTCCTCCAACTCCATGCTTTGGCACTGGTGTTGGGCCGAAAACAACCAACTGGCCAATGCACCTGCTTCAAGTTGTCTCCACCCAGCAGCCCTCCCAGGAGATGGAAATGCTCTCGTGTTTCCAAAGGAAAGGTCACTTGTGTCACTGGGTGAGGCCTGGATTTCTGTGCTCTGGCCACCTTAAGCCTACAGTGCCTGATCAGCTGCTCTGCCCATTGACTTAAGGAAAAAACAAAAGCAAGTTGAACTCCCAGGGTGCTCACAAAGCTATTTGGGACCCAGTTTATGAGCTGCCTCAAACAAAGAGAAGGAGGGTCACCCCCTGCTTCAGGGGAAAGTTATCACAAAGGCTTGTTTATTGGACTTTGTCAAGTTTCTCAAAAACCTCCTTGGAAATCATGAACTTGGCTGGTCAGAAAAATAATAGGGATGCAGCTGTAGTTTATTATAAAGGCATAAAGCTAATGAGAGATATGCTGTGAAACAGATAGCCAGGGAGTTCCTTGATGGCTAACATCATAGATGCAGAAAGCTAAGGGTCTTTGAGTGGTGGTGGGACCTGGGCATGCAGGCTTGGGGACCCTCCTTCTGGTAAAGCTGAATGAGGCATGTAGATTGCTGGAGTTCAGGAATTCTGAGCTACAGTGATCAGGAGTCTGTACTAATTACAGAATTAATAGGCGAGACCCTGGGAGTGGAGAGCTACCAGGTCATCTACGAAGAGGTGAACCACCTCACGTCAGAAATGAAGCAGGTCAAAGCTTCCATGCTAACCAATAGTGGGATTGGGATCATGAATTGGGTGCAGTACTTCCAGTGGAGGTGGGTGGGAAAGGGAAGGAAGGCAGGAAAAAAGGAAGAGAGACAGGAAGGAAAGAAGGAAGGAAGGAAGGAAGGAAGGAAGGAAGGAAGGAAGGAAGGAAGGAAGGAAGGAAGGAAGGAAGGAAGGAAGGAAGGAAGGAAGGAAGGAAGGAAGGAAGGAAGGAAGGAAGGAAGATATGGTAAGAGGTAGTGCTTTCTACAAAGACATGTGTAGGTATGCACATGCTCCAGCCTACATGTGAATGGTTTACTCCACACGATTGTTCCTTACAAGTGGCAGCTCTGGTTATCTAAGGCAGACCACATCCCTAAGTCAGAATTCCAGAGACATCTGCCACTTCATTCAATTAGTCTGTAGATTGTAAAATCTTAGGCATTTTCATGCCAATCAATAGCTCATAGCCTCTGTGCTCTTGAGTCCTTCAAACAGACCAAAGCGCATGATAGCATCAGCAGAATGCTCTGCAGTCAACCAGAAAGCATTCCACATTACATTTCTTATTACATTTTTTATCTTATCTTAATTTGTCTCCTTTCCTGAGCAAGCTGAGGAGACTTCACTCTGAACTAAGGAGCTGATGCTGACTCAGGTCTGGAAAGCCTACAGCATCATAGATTTTGACCTGCAGAATGCCTTAAAGATCATTTATTCTAATGCCTTCATCTTGCAAGTAGGGAAACTGAGCTACAGAGTGGTCATATGACTTCCCATAGCTCACAAAAAAAAAATCAGGGGCAGAGTTGAGATTCAAACCCAATTTCCTCTAGATTTTTCCATCTTGCCATATTGCCCCATGCCCAGTTCCATTCCTCTGAGATATGCCTTGGGGACCTACAAGGCAATATGAGAGACAGCAGGCTAGATAAGATTATCCCCCTTCTGTGATTAAAGTGGCACCTTTCTGGCAGTTTCAGTGGGCCACCTTGCTCTACCTTGTCAACCAATATTTCCAAAAATGCCCCTCCAGGATGGCAAGTTGGATTTTTAGTATCAACACTTATGGAGATGCTTAAAGTACACAAAGTGATTTACATAATTTATTTCTTTTGAGTTTCACAAGAATCTTATGAGTTACCATTATTCCCATTTTACAGATACAGAAACTGAGGCTGACAGGGTTAAATGACTTGCCTGTGGTCACAAAGCTAACAAGTGACAGAAATGGAATTTGATTCCAGATCCCCCTGACTCCAAAGTCCCTATATTGAATGCTTTTAAAATTCCCAGGAGCGTAAGATTGTAGACCGAGAGGTGGAAGACCCCTTGCGGGTCATCACTCCCAATTCCCTCTATTTTACAAAGAGGTTAAGTATCTGCTCTGATAGTGTTTCTCTTGAAGTCAAGTAGGCTCTCTACCTTTCTCCTTTCCTCTGGAATGCTTTTATGAGGAAGATGGATAAATGAATGAACGTTTCTATTAAGTGCTTCTATGTGCAGAGAATTATGGGAAGCACTGGAGATAGAAATAAAAAAGGAAGACAGTCCCTGATCCCAAGTCACTAACATTCTATTTGGGGATTGGGGAAAAGAGAGAACATATAGGAGGTTTCAATTAAATGGAAAAAAAAACAGTGGTCCTTAGGGTAGAGTGGCAAAAGAGATGGTAAGCCATCTTCATTAATGTCATTTCCATTGATAAAACCACATCCATTTCTGATGCTGAACCAACTGACGATGCTAAGGACTTGGAGAGTTAGAACTTTCTTTTCCAGGTCTTTTTAGTAGCCAAGAAGGTAAGGCTGCTTTGTATTTTAAGGGAACGGGAAGAGTTTGATTAAAAAGAGCCCTTTGCAAATTTGTATGTTTTAAGTACAGTTTAGTTGTACATTTTTTTTTTTTAAATTGGTTTTGGGTTTCTTTAGTTAGAGTAAAAATAATGTTCTTTATGACTGAGTGTTCAATAAATGTTCACCTTTAAAAAAAATAACAAATATAATTCCCTGGGTAGCTACTCCAAGAAAATGTATTATACTAGAGCTTGCTTTTTTTTGTTGATATGTCTTATAACCCACCCTCTATTAAACAGCAAGTTCCTATTTAAACGCTTAGATAGCTAGCTACAGGGTGACATAGTGCATAGAATGCTGGGCCTGGAGTCTCTTGACTCTTCCTGAGTTCAAATCTAGCCTCTGAAACTTACTAGCTGTATGACCCTGGATAAGTCACTTAACCTTGTTTGCCTCAGTTTCCTCATCTGTAAAATGAGCTGGAGAAGGAAATCGCAAACCACTCCAGTATCTTTGCCAAAAAAACCCAAATGGGGTCATGAAGATATTGAATGCCATTGAATGAAGCTGGAGAGAATCACAAAATCATGTTGATTTCAATACCGCAAATTTATGTTACGTCATCTCAACTGGACCTTTACTGCACCAAGGCAATCCTTTTACACCTCCCCAATCAACACACTGGCCCATTAGCCATGGGGGCGTTTCCAAACCTTTTCTCCCTCCTCAAGTCTCCCATAGAACCTCTTCTCTCAACCTTCTCAGCTGATAACTTTGACTCATATTTTACTTTAAAAAACTGAAGCTGTTACCAGGAGCTCGCTGTTCTCAGTGACACTCCCTCCTTGCTGTTCCTTGCCTAAGAGACTCCACTTCCTGACTGTCCACTTTCACCAACTGTCCTCCTGGAATTCTCTCCTCCCAATCTCTATTTCCTGGCTCCTCTAGATTCCTTCAACTCCCAGCTAAAAGCCTATCTTCTACAAGATCCTGTGTCCCTCTTTAATGTTAGTGTTGTCCCTCCACTGATTATCTCCAATTTACCCTGTACACATCTTGTTTGTACATGGTTGTTGGCATGTTCTTTCCTCCATTAATTAGATGCTAAGTTCCTTAAGATAAGGGCCTGTCTTTTACCTTTCTTTGTATCTCTCATACTTGGTAAAGTGCCTGGAACATAACAGGGATTTAATAAATCCT